CTTGTTTCATACAGCAATTGTAGCGACTTGATTACTGAGCTTTGCAACTCTCTGCTGCAGGCAGACTGTTTGTCATCGAGTGAATAATGCACATGCGTGGTTTTTCTTGTGGAAAAATTCTAACTACACGTGCTTATGCAGCAGGTTCTTGGTCAGAAAGCATAACAGTTGTACATACAAACAAGCAGAATAATAGTAGAGATTATATGTTTTCTAATAGAACAGCTATTGATGCTCAGTATCTCTGTTGCAATTGTCAGGACCAATGTTCATTACAATAAGTGTAGCTTCTGTTTTTGAAGAAAAAACCAAACAAAATATAAAGCATAAACATAAATATATTTTTTTAAGAATGTAATAATATTTTTGCTTTTAAAATGTGACTCATGTTCATAATTAAAATTGAATTTCGATTACTTTTGAATTCTTCTTAATATACACAAATTGTAAGACCAGGGTGTAAACATTTACTTGTTAATTAGCTCCCAGTAGATGTATTAAGGATACGAATTCTGTTTCGTTTTGTTTTTCATGTAACTTTTTATAAAGATTTTTATGTCACATATACATTGGTATCATTGTTAACATCTTGAATATTTATTATGTTAAGCTGAATTATTTGTCATATAAGTCCAGCTTAATCATGAAGAAAAGCTAGTTACTTGTAGTTTTGTTTTCCTTTATTGATGGTTTTCTGTGTTTAACACTATATGTATAGGAATGTTCATCAACCTGAAGAAAATATATATATATCTGTATATTTTTAATTTCAGATTTATTTTGCCCTAGTAATATAATTTCCTTTTACAACAATACATAATTTAGAACAGATGTAATTATTCTTAATGAATTTAAAGGTAATTTATTTGCCTTTATTCCATTACTCTGAAAATTGATTGAAGTTTTGTATTGTTATTAACAGCAGCATTTTTGATATTTAGCAAAACTGGGATGTCTTGGATTGAACAAATTAAGGAAAGGACAACTGAATCTGAAAATTGGTGAGCAGTTCTTTGTTGAATGAATGTATGATTTTCAATTTAGTCTCTTTGAAAAGAGTGTACATTGAAAATATATCTTCCTACATTTTACTTATAATGTTATTAGTGTTCGTGTGAATAATTATTATTTTCTCCTGGCATTTGCTGTTGGATTATATATAACCAAAGAAAGAGAAGTTTGATCATTTTCAGGATCACTTTTTAGTTATTATGGATCAATTTTCTAATTTGCTACTGCTAAAATCTCCTAACACAGGTAAGGAAAATATTTTAAAACACATACAGCTTAGTTAGATAGCCAGTTAAATTATGATAGTTTTAGGTCATTGTCTTTTGTTGCATGTTAAAATGTAGAAGTTAGAAGACTATTAGGTTATATAAGGAAAATGAAATGAAAAAATTAGATAAAAAATACTTGATAATAGTAGCACATTTCATGCTCTTAGCAAGTTTTAATTTGACTGGGCATGCTGATATTTTGCTGCTTTGTTTACACAAAGCTTCCCTGCTAGATGATTCACCTTGTTGCTAATCTAAGTGGTAGTAATGCAATAAATCTAAATGATCAGGAGACTTGCAATGTATTAACTTTAACTATAAGAAAGAATAGTATGAAATTGTCTGTAACAATATTCTTTTGTGGTGATTGCAGGGTTGCTGAAATAGACTGAGCCTGTATACAATGTTAGGGTAGATAAAATATGGAAGTTTTAGCAAAAAGAAGTTTTGATATTCATTTATGACGTTCTACAGGTTATGCAATTGAAATTTAAAAATTGTAAAATTTAAAAATATTTTAACATGAAAATCAGCTTGCACTCAGATTATGGCGAATTCACATAAAGCTTTAGTAAAAGTACTTAAGCAAAAAAATTGATTGTTTTTTTGTGTGTGCAAAAGAATTGTAATCTTTACTAAAACCTTGCCAAATTTTGTGAAGATGCTCATACTACTTTGATGGTGGATAAAAGGTCAGTCAAAATAACTGAGCCCCTATACAGAAAGTAAAGCAAGGGGAACAGCTCTGCACAGTTTGAGCCTTGGGAATATTTAAAATACATGTATGCATAGTAGAATAACAGTACCTTAACCCTCTTGCTATGGCCTTGGTCAGTTTGACTGAGTTTATAACCCCAAAACAACCATCATAGATTCCATGCTATAACTTTTAATATGTTTTGTGTATCTTCATGAAATTTGGCAAGCTTTCAGTAAGTATTAAAAGTCTTTTGTACAGAAAAAATCAATTTTTTAATATTATTTTTACTAAAATTTTGTTTGTAAATATGTGGAAGCAGAGTATTGACTGCTCCAAGTGCAAAGTGATTTTCAAGTTAAGATTAAAAATACTTTTCTTCATCTGAAAATTATCAAATTTAACTTGCATAATTTGTTAAAAAACCCTAAATAAATATGAAACTTTTTTTTCAGTTAAACTTTTTATTTTATCTGTATTTTCTTTATCTTAACCAATACATATTCAGTAAATTTGACCAGCCTTGTAACCGCCATAAAAAAAAATTGAAATAAATCTAAATTATCTTTTTTTTCTTTTTAACATGACTGCAAATTATAACAGGAAACAACAATTGCTTATCCTAAATAACTTAAAGCTTGTAACATTATATATCAACTTATACTTAATTTTATTGTTTTAATGTACTCTGACCTGTGTCTAACTAATAATCCTGCCACACAAGTTATAGATCACTTGGTGAACATATATCTTACCTTACCATATCAAATTATGCAATACATTAACTGTTCGTGAACATAATTCATGAATAATTTTTATTATGATTATAACTTTTCATTATTTTACCTAACCTAACCTTATCTAATCTAACAAGTTTCTAATTTTTACATTTTAGTTACATTTATAACAATTAATAAAGAAAATATGTGAAAAACAAAAAATAGATCACTTACCTGGAACCTCTTGTTTGTGTTTTTTTGCTGTTGGTTGCTGATGAAATTTAAGCCTACATTTTTTACACTAATGGTACTAATACACTAAATAATTTTCATTTACTTAAATAATGCACTTAAGAATAGAGACTAGTAACATGTACAAAACAAACAAGTCCTATAACTATCATAATGTTTCTGGCTTTAACTTTAGCATAAAAACCTTTAATATTACTTTAAACTTGTTGATCTGAAGACTGCAAGAGATATTTTCAAACTGAATTTGAAATAGATAGTTCTCTGTGCTAAAACAACATAATATAATATTTCATTTGATAGAATAAACCTTTGACATTCTATTGGTTATAAAAAGTATAGTATGAAATGTCAGAGAGAATTGTTGGCAATTTGTTAAAGAGAGAATTTGACAAGTGGGTGTGGTAAGTGGGTCTAATTTTCTAATTTATGACTGTAAACATACGAGATTGGAGTCTATAAAAATTATTCTTATCCTTAGAAATATTTATATTATAATGAGTAATTTACATTAAACTCTGTACTCTGGAGAGAGGTGGTAAATAAATTAGAGAAAGGGAACACCTAGAGAACAAATGTCATAATTCTCAAATTAGGAGAGATTAAGGTGTGTTTCTTTAATATTTCTTATAAAATTAAGAACTTAAAATTCATATTACTTTAAAATTTGATTTATTAATTATGTTTTGATACCAAGTTCATTTGTATACAATGATAATAAAATAGTTCAATTAAGTTTTTAATTTACCTTAAAAAAGTTGTGACTTAGACACCTACCTGTAGTGAATAGTAGTTTTAAATTGGAAAAAAAAGCCATCAGAATATTCCATATTGTCACATTATAGGAATTTGTATTTAGATGTATTTGAATGTAATTAGGCTGTAAAATGTTACTAGAATATGATGTTTAACAAGTTCAATAATATTTTGTTTTTATGATTTGTTATATCAAGGAATATGAGTGCAACAAGCTTCCAACTATATTTGTGTTTGTTCAAACTACAATTACAAAGATCCATGACGTTTGAGTCAGGAAATGTTTGGAAACAGATTAAAGGACGGTGAGTTTCAAAAGTATTAATATTGTGGTTTTGTTTACTGTTGAAACAATACTAAATATTCTGTGGCATTTTTATTTTGAACCTTCTTGATTGGGAAAGTTTCTTTGTTATGACCTTTGACTTGTGGTCATTCCAAAATGTTTATCAAGAACATATTATTGTAAAATTCTATCCAACTTTAAGAATGAACAATTTTTTTTAAATAAATGAGCTTGTATTACTTCACTGAAAAAAAGTAGTTTATTAATTTTTAATAACTTTAGTTATTTATATATATTTATTTTTGAGCATCAATTTTGAAGTGATCATGCTACTAATAGATAAATCAACATTTAATCACATTCATAACTTCTTGTGATGTGTTAGATTGTAATAAAAAGATTCTTTGATAGTTTTTAATTGTGTGTCCTTATATTAATATATATGATGATCATCCTATAATTCTATTAGTTTTGAAACTATGCTCAAATTACTATTCCTCTAACTAAGCATGTAGCTAAACAGTTGAATGATTATTGACCAAGCCTTTTCTACCTACATTGTTATATCATTTTGTGATCTTGTTTGTTTCAAAATTATCTCATAGCTCATGAAAGTCTCCATCAAACTTTTATTTGTACTTAAGGAAAGAGTACATTAGTTCTGGATTTCAGTCTTATTCATCAATGGTCATACACTAAGATTGTTGCATTTGTTCTGGGCTCTGTTCTTTGTTAATTAATTTAGAACCATTTTGTTCTTTACAATTTCTGACTTGAAAGTTGTTAATACATAAAACTTTCCACATTTTTTAAAAATTATTTCACATTTCTTCTTGAAAAACATTACCTTCTGTAGCATAACTTCTTGTGTTCAAGTTTATGTTGCAAATTATTACACTTATCCTCTTCGTGTTTGGAAATTCCTTCATCTATGCTCTTTACTCACTGTTTTCCCTCAGAGAATCCCAATCCTGATGTTCAGACTATAAGTTACTCTGAAGTCTCTTTTACCTTGTTCTCACCTTGATAGTGAGGCCTGTCCTAAGATATTTCAATTGTGATTTCAGTGTTAATTGTTGATTTTATCTGCACCACTTACTTCTTTTCCTGAAGTTCCAGAAGGTTTTAAATGGAATTTTGAATATGCTGTATGTCATCAAGAGGGTTTTTGTGTGGCTTCATTTTGTTTCTTTTCAAATTTTGTTTAACTTCTATTGTAGAGTTAGTTTTCTCATGCTCCTTGCAGTGTGCTTTTCAATTAACTTGAAGTCTATATATTATGGTCTTCTCTCATATACTTTGTGGGGAATATGAAACCTTTGTTCTTCATCTTCTTTTTCAAAACATACTGACATGGTTAGAACCTTTCTGGGATAGCCTACATTTTGACTAGACTTTGCTGGTGGTTTCTTCACCACTTCCTTCCTTTCTGTTTTGTCTAATTCTTTGATTTCATTTAAAAGCACTTTTATATTCTTAACTTATGAATGGAGTGATACTCTTCCTGAGTCTTTGTCTCAGTTAGCTAACTAAGGGGGCTTTCAGTTTTCTTTTTATGTGAGATTTGAGGGTGTATCACATTTTTGATCTGGCTTGTATAAAGTCTTTGGCAGGAAGTAGATTGAGTTAAGGTTAATTAACTTAAACAGATGCTACAGTTTATATACTATTGTTTTGTCCAGTTTAGGATTGGTTCTGTTTTTAAGAAATTCTTAGGACATTCATTTCATCACTTACACATCCTTTGCATTTGTACAGTTTATTCATCTTGTGATGACTTCATGTTCTCTGCTTGTGATGTTACTGACTAATTCCTGAGACCATCACATTTCAGTGAAATTATTATGCCCATGTTTATACGAATTGAGCTCACCACAAGCATGCAAAGCCCTACCTTCACAGTATAACAGATACCTTATCTTGCTTTTTACAGTACTATTAAAACAACTGTTCCTTACAGTGTGTGCATGCTTATTTATCTACATGTACTTAGATATCTGCATTAACTAACTAATACTAAGTTTTACTGTCTGCTTCAGTCAATTTACGGCTGTAACTTTTGAACAAGTTTCCATAACATATGCTTTGATACATGTTCCCATTTAAAACTTCTAATTATTCCTTAATGATAATTTTTATATTGCTTACTGCATGGACTTACACAAGTTTGCCATTTTGCTCATGGTGACATAATATATATATATATTACAAAGTTGCCTCATGGCTTGCTACCTCTATATAGATTTAATTATTATGTAGCAACAGAATTATTCTGTAAAAGACTAAAGAACTATCATTCCAGTTGACTGAACTGACATTAAATCTCACTTGAGAAATTGGCTGGTTGATCAAGCTTTCAGTCTTAACTATGCCCTACTTAGATTTTATCCACCTGATAGTTCTTAATAACATCTTCATGGTTGGCTTTTTTTAGTCCTTTTGCTTGAATCCTTTTTATACTTAGTTATCAACCTAAATAAAATAATGACATCTTACTCCTGAATGTTTCTTTTTATTGCTCAGTATTCCACTTTACAGCCTTTTCAGGAGCAGTTTATAACCTACAAGTTTACTATTCTAGTTCAGAGTAACCTAGGACATAGTCACCAGTGGATCAAACAATCAAACTCAGTTCTTTGTGTCCTAAAGGCATTTATCTTACAAATAGCAAACATTTTTGACTTTAAATTGTTCAAACCATACACATTAACAATATTAATTGAACAATGCAAGTAAAGCAACTGGTAAACTCTTAAAAGCATATCATATGTGCCCTCCTTATGCATATACAACCATAAAATATATGTCCATATACTGACATATACAAATACATATTTAGATATACTCAACCAATATAATAGAATATAAGCAACCAATGCACTTAGAGATACAATCAACATCCCTACACTAAAGGCTAACCATTTATATTTATTAATTTTAGGTTTGCTTTTTCAGATTATAATAGATTCTTTAATTTTTGCTCTAAAAAACTATATCTTTTGACCTTAATATCAGGTAAGATGTTTTCCTAAGGTGACCATAAACATCAGGTAGTTAATCCAGGACACAGTTAAGTGACATGACATGGCGACTCAGTCTAGACTTAATAGTCTAATATTCAGTGTAAATGGTGGTGAAGTCTGAGATCACCACATCTCTCATTGATCATGTGACTGATGATTTCACTGCAACAGGTCTGCAGGTCATCATTTATATTGTTCAGAACAATTTAAAATCACACTTTAAATTAATGTTTGTTACATTTTTTTTGTCTCTAGTTAAAACAATGATAGCCAAGTTGTAGATTGTTAGTTTTCTTTATGTCACCTAGCAAAAAAATTAAGGTAAGTTAAAACTGGGACACTTGTTACATCCTGAAAGATCTCTTCAGAATACCCTAGGCAAAGAGGTCCAAACCAGGATGCATGGTCACCAAGTGTTTTCCATTTGTGGTGTCCCTACCTTTCCTAAGTCATGATAACAACACTAAATTACATAGCATTGACTGTATAGCAGCCATAATATAAGCTATTTTCAAAAACCTGTGGAGACCAGGATGATAAGAGCCTGTACCTAATTTGTCAATTTTTCCACTGCTTGGCCAATGAGTGATGATGGGAGAAAACAAAGGCCTCCACATCATTACTGTGTTTCTGGATGGCAACAGTTTGCAGCAAGTAGTATTGTTGCAATGCGTGTAACTTAGTATATGCATTAATGATCTTGATATTAAACTTTCATATCATGAGTTATGACTACATAAAAATTGCCAAAATTTGAATTTGTTCATACAGTGTATTAAAATGCATAGAGGTTGTTCAAAATGTAGAATATGTTTTTCATTGAGCATAGCCTTTTTTTAGAGACTTCATTGTAATTATTAAGGAACACTGCCTCAGGTTGCATGTGAAAAATATAATGTTTATTGTATTGCTATAGTTAGTTAATTTATAGTAAACATAAATATAAATACATTTTACCATTCCAGTGTCATTAGTTTTAAAAGATTCTATTTTCTTTACTATGGCTGTAACAATTCACCAAAATTAGGATTCCTTACAGTTTGGCCATGGTTCATTTGTGCTGCAGTCTTTTTCTTTTTATGAATGTCCTTTTATATTTCATAAAAACAAACACTTTAAATAATATCAAATACAAATTTACTTTTTCATGCAAATGCATGAGCAGTCTACATGCTAAATACTTATTCTAAATATAGATTTTCTTATTTTTAGTAATGCAGTTTGGAAATTCCATTTCCAATTTCTTATGAATACAGCATATCAAATTATTCAATAAATGGTAAACCAAACTACCATGTGTTGTGTCAATAATGGCTAACTCACCAAATTGTAAAATAGAGGGTGCACCTTTGGCATACAAATCAGTTGTTTGGAAGTATTTTAGGTTTGAACTTTTTGGATCAAAATAAAGTAAAAAAAAATTGTAATGGTCTAAAGTAACTCTCCCATACAACCAGGGTTGAAAAAAAAACAAATTTTATTATACTTTGACAACCACAAAAATTCAAAGTGTGAGTTTCAAACTATTGGAATACAAAGTTGATAACTTACCAAAACACAGTAAAGAAAATTGTGCCTGGCCAGGGCTTGAAGCTAACGTTAGTAAACAATACAATCTAGGTTAATAAATATTTCAATCAACAAATAAATAAAGGAATCAGGAATTGATTCCAATGTCGCTCTCATGAAAATCATCATGCGACACACTCTTGTTATGGATTTGACTCCCTCTATTCAATTCTACCTCACTATCACTTCTCGTTTGGCAGTACTTGTGTTCAGACATTTTTGCTTTTTGTGCTTTTCATGTGCATTGCATTCGTAGGTTTAATAGTTCTAATTCCAAAGTGGATTTCTTTATTAATAATTTATAGTTATATTGCTGATGCCTTTTACTTTAAATTCATTTTCCAGTCTTTATTAATGTTTTTCTTCTCGCACATTTGCATTTGTCTGTCAAAAATTTTTGTTTGATTCATAATTTCCAATGAATTCT